GCTCCGTAAACTTCGTCAAAACTTTGTCACTACAATATTTTAGATCAGGAATAACCAATTAATTTTTTCATTGGTTTACACTGAGCACGCGGCAAGTCAGTTATTATAGTATGAAGTAGTGTTCATAGAGATTTAATCCCTGTCCTCCAAAAACTCGCAGGAATGTGCATCAAGTCGACCCAAGTTATATTAATTATAAAACTTCAATTATTGGGAACAAGAGTTTAAAAGAAAGACTTAGCACATGTAAGAAAAAGGAAAACAGCAAAAATTCTAGATATTTTGTCATGTTACGTGACTACCTTACTATCAATGCTGGCACTATTACATCAGCCAAACAGCTTGATAACCATTTATATTCCATAAAGCCTAACCGACTGCTTTTGGTTCTTTAAATTCATTTCTAAGTCGATTATGTCATCGGTAAACCAAGGTGAGATAATTTCCAATGAATAAATTTAACTAGATAACCCTAGAAACTGATTTATTTAGCTTAATGACAGTTTAAACCCCTTTTAAAATTTCACAAATAAGCTTTAGCTGTTCATCCCACGTCATATTTAGTCATAACTTGCTAGGATGGGTTGCAAAGCATTGAGTGACATTTTGTGGGTGTTTCTGATAATAAATTAAAAAATATTTTGAACACTAAACTACAAAATAGCCATTCATTGAAATTAGTGAAAATGATAGCTAAACATTCGATGCCAGTACCTTGACAAAGCTGACAACAAAGATTTGACATTGTACAAAATTAGTGAAAGGATTCCTCCTTCAAAAATTTGCCAAAAATTTGGCTTTTATAATGGCATTATACATTAATTTTTTTCAGCTTTAAGGAATATTAAATAAGAGAAAATTAGAATAATGGTTAAAACATTTGAATGACTATTTGAAATGCAACCACAGACAAAATACGTCTGTTTAGAAGGAGAATTTAATTCGGTTTACATATGTTGGAGATTAATATTTGTTGACGTGGCACACTCACGTCACTTACAAAATTTCTAAATTTCCCCTTGTGAACAGGAACGTCATCTTTCTTTAGCATAGCAGTTTGTGCACTGAAAATACCTAGCTGACTTTTGTTTGCCGGCGTTGAACCCTAGGAATTATTGAATTACTGACCCATTTAGTACAGCACAACAAATATCGGTTCGTTAAAATAATATGTTTTATGATCATTTTTCGCTTCATTTTACACTCTAGCTATGGCTTTATTATAAAAGAGATGCTAAACAGAGATCAAAGAGAAATCTTAAAAAAAAGAATGGTTTAGAAGCTTATGTTTCTGGAAAGTTGGAATTACGCACATTTCGAATCAAACACTCCAGTTTTCAGAGCAAAAATATTTCGGAATAAATTAATCATAAGTTGCCATTAAATGTGCAAAACTGCTTTCACTATGTAGAAAAACTTAAAAATAAAATATTATGCAGGATGCGTAAACATGTGCATTTATGTTCGTTGATCACTCGTGCGATCAGATCAACGTAAATTAAATTTAAACTGATTTAATTGTTCTAGATAAAATGGGAACTAGACATAACTGGGCCTTTGAACGCTCGTATCCTCAACTCTAGGTGCATTTGGAATGTCCAGTCATTCAAACCCTTTGTTCAATGGTTCGTTTTCGAATGTTGCATTAAAACTACGAAATAAAAATAAGCTAAAAATAAAAGGAGAGGTACAGGTTAGTGATATCATAGGATTAAAAAAGGATAAAAATTGCTAGATTTAAAATGGTCTTAATTAGGCCTACACATTTCTTTTATAATACGATGGGGCCTTCATAAATATCGGAATTCAAGTAAAACTTGGTTTTGTTCTGTTTGCATTAACTACACAATTCATCTTTGCTCCAAAGGCATTTCTGTTGGGGTTAGTCCAGTTCATGCAAAAATGCCCAACAGTGATATTTTGGCGTGTGCTATACAAAAATAACGGCTATGTCAAACTTTTATCAATAATGACGACCGGTGACCTTGTGACACCGTAATTAAAGGTCAGAATCAAGGAAGCCGACGCACTAGAAACAAGGAAGTATTTACTTTAAAATAAACTGAGACCAAAAGTGAAAGGCTTCACCGCTTGACGAATTTTTGAATGCAATTTTATAGAATAAAGATAATAAATATTCAAGTATTGTCGGCGAAATCCAGGCGTCACCGTTGAAAATATTCTGAACAGCATTTCATCGTGGAGTTCATGGCAAAATCAAGAACGTTACCAGGAAACTCATATTTAATTTGACTTTTGAACATTTTATGATGCAAGAAGGCAGTGATGATTTGTTGGAGCGTGTATATGAATGTCAAACAACTATAAATGCAATAGCAGAATTCATAGTTTTATTAAAGCATAATCACTGTCCGGCATTTGGCGTGCAGTAGACTTGTGAAAAAGTTGCAACACCTCAAAATAGCAAGTGCGCACTTAAGATACAGTTTGACTGATTTATTAAGCGATGACAATAGTGGTACTGACGATTAAGGCTTCACTATAAAAAAAATATTTAGGTGTCTAATTTCAAGGATAAGTTAATCCCATTCATTAGCTTTTTAGGAGCATGTACAGGTCTGATTGAAAAAGTTTGGTCCTTTGATTGAAACAGAAAATTTGTTACCAAATACTTTGAAAATTGTTGTTCTTAAGCCTTAATTTTTTTGGTAGTCTTAAGTCCATATCAATGTATTCTGTACTTCATCAAGTCTAAATAAATTTTAATCATGGGTGTATTTAGTTACAAATGTTTAGTAACACGGGTCAATTATGGAATCTTTGGTAATCAAGGAATGCGTTTACTTGTTTTAATGGGTGTGTTGAGGAACTTAGCGTCTGTTGCTTACCTTCTCTTACCGTAATCGGTTATTTTGTTTTGCCTCTGTCCCCACCTACAGTTAACTTTGTAGATTGTCCCTTTTTGAAATTTGCACTTGTTTTGCTTAATCGTAGATTTTATGCAAGGTCCTTTTATTACAATGTTTCACAACATCACTTGCCACCCTTTAGTTTGCTTAACATAGAAGATCGCTGGAAAAACTCCAAGGCAGATCAGTTTTGGCATTTACGCAAGGCAGTGGTGCTAATTACTCTAAGTACAGGCCCTTATTTTATTTAGAACTCAAATTTTGCATAATTGGTTTGTTCGCGTGGAATAGGCTTGTGCCTCTTCGAAGCATTTCAGAGATTTTGTGTAAACCCTGCGTGTTACTGTGTAGAACCGACTAAGGTTTGTGGTGTTTTTTTAAGTCAAAAAATGGAATTAAAACCTGCCATATGGACCTATCGTGACCTGCGTGCTTTAAACAGTTAATACGTGGTTAAAGGCAACCATTCGGGATGTCGTTAAATCCGCTCATTGTAACCTTTGATGTATTTGAAACAACTCACCTTACCCCACTTATGAATGTACAAATTAGTGTGCATGATTACAGGGACAGTTGTTGAAAATAAGAAAAGTTGGACTGAACTTATGGTGACTTGAACTCGTGTTTGGTTTAGGCACTTCATCGTTATTCCTCAAATACACCCAAGGTAACAGGTAGTGCAGTTTTGTGTTAATAAGGTGACAGTTTTAGTTACAAATTCTGACTGGTTGTCGATTTTGCGGGCTCTGCACAACTAATCTTGAATTTCGATACCTCCATATCATGCGCCAAGTCGATGTAAGTCTGTTGACCAGGTCTCAGAATCTGGCACGGTGTTTTAATCGAATGCATCGCTTAAGATACCTTGAAGGTGCTATTATTCAGTCTGGCAGCAAGTCAGAACCCTGCTGTGGGTGTTGTGAAAACAGTGTAGGCGACATTGGACCTCATTGGGCAGGTTGTTCCTGTTTTCGGCGGATCTAGTCCAAGTGAACGCGAGTTTGCACGAGTTAAGAAATATGAGTAACCAGTAACTGGTCATTTAGGATGTAATGTGCCTTTGACTTGCATGTTATTTGGCTTATTAATAATTTCAATTTTTGGTTTTCCTCATTAAATCTTACATGAAAGACGTCTAATATACACACGCGTTTGTCGTCGTGGTTGATTCACCATTTAAAACAGGAATTTTGGTACGCTCATGTGTGTAGAATGTCCGAAACTTGTAAAGGTCCAGCAATGACCGATGTGCCACTTTCAAAAGCAGGGTGTTCATGATTTCATGTGTGACCTCAGATATTTGTGAATTAGACGCCCGCAGATGCAGGATTAAATAATCAGCGCTAGCCCGACCGGACAAGCTGCACAGAATCCTCTTTATTGTTGCTTTCCATAGGTTTACCTATTTGTCCCGATCGATTTTTTATTATTCATGGGATCAAACGTGTTAGTTTGTCGGTCTCACTCTTCCAAATGCTTAAACCTTTGAAAAGTTGGTAGTATTGCATCGTTATCCACCAGTTATTGAGACCTCCGTGCAGTTTCCTCTTGTGCGTTACGTGCCTGGAAACCTACTAATTTTTACCACGAAATGGGGCCTGTTTACACCGACTGGAATCAGATATCTGGGTCATTTTCTTACGTGAAAAACAAAGCTGTGATATCACTGTGGCCATCTTTGCACACTCACTCGGCACTGTGAAATCTTCGTCTCGTAGTATAAACACTTATGTGTGCAGGGGGACATTGACAGTGTTTGAAAACGTTGCGTAATTTTTCACTGTACTTGTACCGTTCTTCCGAAGGCGTCCATGTCGTGTACTTTATTGCACTAGGTGATAGCTTTGGAATCTGACCCTCTACTCCCATTCCTTTCTGTCACTGAGACTTGTTTTGTGATGATTAATCTTTTTACGGTGTTTTATTGTTAACCAACTCTGGATTGAAATTCTTATTTTTTGGTTTGCTTGGGATGGAAACGTGAAATGCGGCAAGGTAGACCTGTTTCGATCAGCCACAGTCAACGTTACAGTTCCCACTGTCTAATGTTGTTGACAATGTGAATTTGCTCGTTTGGGGACCATTGGAACCACCGGCTGAAAATTTCAGCCATTGGTGCCAAGGTAATGTATGATTTTTCGTTCTATTTCTGGTTTAGGCTTTCAGTTTAGCGCACACGAGCCAACAGCCCTTCTCCAGAAAAATAGTGGTCCGTGTGCCATTATTGCTGCGGTCCAAGCTGCCATTCTACGTCAAATACTTTTTACTTCAGACCATCCCATTCCGGTTGTTTCGAGTGAGATCTTATTGTAATCACACAATATCAAGGTCTGGAAAACATTGAACTGCTAACAAACGCCTTGTTGGAGATATACATTACTGTTTCGACAAATCGACCGGAGTCGAATTTTACCATTTTCCATTGGGATGCACCCGAAATAGCCATAGGATCTTCCGAGGGTTTGGACAGTTTCCCTTAATTATTACCAACGATTAACAGGAGTCCTGTCGCCAGCAACCAGTTTCCAACGGTTCATTTCGGGTTTAAAGTAAGAGACAATTTGATCGTTTTCCTGGTTTTGGTCAAGCTGCTGACGAGCTGGTCTAATTACTACCACGCGCTCATTGCTTAACTAAATTACGTCGTTAGTTGTTTCTTTACTATTCAGATACAACGGTTTTCGTGATTCAAGGTAGTTGTCTTGATTCATGTTATCAGCGTAGTGATTTGCCTGATTAAATGGCACGCCGGGCTTCGTAATGTTTGTTAATATAAATTTCTTTTATGTTAAGGGTCACTTCTGTGGAAACACTGGACGAATTACACGCACTGCTTCTTTCTCTCATCCCCATGTTCGAAGCAGACTTCGGTATTTTATGTTTCCTCTACTCTATTCTCGTTACACATGGGCTTGAAAAAGTCAAGAGTGGAATGCTCGGCGAAACTGAGACCCTAGTTGATTCAACGTTTGGGAGTGCTAGTCAATGCCTTTTAAATCTTCTCCTTACTGGGAGAACCACGCCGTACCTTTTTGACGGAAAACGCGACCTTTCTGGTTTTAGTGAGTTGTACCTTGACACTTATAAATCGTGTACTTTTCTAATGTCATTTTAGATGTTAAATGTGTAATTTTGTGCGATTAGACTCGCTTACCGTCCATTCTTTGCATTTAAATCTGCCATCAAAACAATGGTAACTCAACCAATCAACCGCTGAATCTAAATCACAATTATATTGGCAAAGACTGTGATTCGATTATTTGGCATGCACAACATTCAATGCGAGCGCCTAAACAAAACTCAGCAATTTACTTTTCTTGATTCGTTTTTTGTAAATTTGCTAATGTCAGTCTTATCATATGGCACCCCAGTCTCGACTGCTTTCTACTGAATTAGCATCAACTCATCATGAAGTAGACTTCTGTTGATGCTCTTCAGGTATGCAGGGTATTACCGAGCAGCCAAAAACAGGTTTCCTTTCAATCATGGAAACTCTGCGTTACTGTGAAGTTGGTTGGTTTTTGAAAAATCCTTCAACGCCGATTTGGATCATCGGCTCTGAGAATCACTTCACGGTACTGGCATCGCCATGCCTCGATCTTGTCTCCATAGATCAGCCAGCACCACAAGCAAAACCGGGTGTGCCTACCTCACCAGCCGTATCAAAGGCCAGTTTGTGGCAGGCAGAACGAGAATTTGACGGCCTTTGCGAAAGTCGTGATGCCGGCTTTCTGACTTATGCAAAATATGAAGAACTACTTGGTCGCCTTGGATTGCCCGCCGATGAAGTTTGGTAGGTCCCTATGTACTTATCTAATTACCAGTTGTGGGTCATCTGTGCGGTTTCACGTCATTTTATAGCATTAAAGATCGAACCGGTATTTATTGGTGGTTTTTTAGTCTATTTTTTGTATTAAGCTAACTTTACGCCAAACTGCCACTTAACGCAGTATCTTACTAATGGCAAATGGCATTTTTGTGTCCTCAGCTATTGTATATTGTTTCAATGCATAGCTAGTTGTGAGCACAGCTAGTTGTGATTGCTATTTACCGCAATACCTTGTCGTTGATTGGCTGGCTTCTTGGTTACTAAACCAAACACTGGAATCCCTTAAAAGTCTCCATGCAGTCTTAGCAACTACTAAGCCCAAGCTGAAATTCTGTTAAAAAAATCGGTCCACGACACAATTCACAGTTTAAATTACAAGAAGTTTTGAAGCTAGTGTGCACCTACTGTTAGCAAAATGCATATTATGGCGTCGTCTGATGCATGAAAGTGCCAGAGTACTTTTTTCGGCCGAGTTATTCAGAAAGTCCGTTTTTTTGTCACAAATTGGGACACTCTAGAACGCATTAAATATTTGGTGATAGCAAAAGGTCGTGCCTGATTTTCATAGATGGCAAGAATACACACTTTTGATTGTGCCGATCTTTCTTTTATAGTCATATTATTAACTGATGCCTACCTGAATGCGTCGTGAGCAAATAAACCTGGAAAGGGTTTGTATAATTTTTGTACAGGGATAATATGCAAAATGGTTAATGAAAAGCCTTATTTTGTCGTTTTAAGTTGTGTGGGTTTACAAAAGGCATGCGTGTTGAACTACAACGACTTCTTCATACAAACTCACTTTTTTCAAGTTGTCGATTTCCACTTTTTGCATATTGCAAGGGCTCATGGCTGTTGGTAGCAGTATTTTAGTACAGTTTATATCAATGAGTTCTACCTTGTCAATAGTACAAAGGGAAATGCATATGTAATAATACCAGGCGGCGCCACCAGGCCATTTGAGCAACTCATTAATAAGTTCGTTTCCTCTTTTCGAAACACGCTTAAACCGTCCAAAATTGTTGGTTTACTAAGATTGCCGTCTTGTTGAAGACCTCTGGTATAGTAGAATGGTACATGCTACGTTTGCATTTTTCGCAATTTAACCTGTTTTGAATCATTAAAATTCTAATACTTAAACTGTAAAGTAACACCCGAATCTATTTTTGGTTAATTAGTGTTGAACGGGCCAAACAAGCCATTGATCCCGATGGGATGCAGATTATCCTGCGGCATCCCTTTCTTGATTACTACTACGCCGACGAAATAAAGCGCCAAGGCACATTGCGATCTGAATTCCAGGTGATACATTTCAATGGGCTTCCTGTCGGCCATCCTAATGGCAAGGTACAATCTTCAGCTGTTATTTTAGGTGAACAGTTTTTGCTGCTAGCTGCTTAACTAGTTTCATTGGTTGAGGACCTAGGCCTCCGGTTGCGTGTTTCATTTGACAAATCATTTCGAATTTTTATTCACGGTCCTCATCACATGTGCACGACAACAGCCGGCGTGAAATTAATTTTAGTGGGCAGCCTCGGTGTCTCTATCACGCGAAAAATTCTATATTTAACCGCGAGATTGACTGGCGCCATGGCCAGTAATCGCCATTCACCAACTGTTGTTTCTGTTCTTATTTGCCGTATACCTCTCATTTCCACGTGGATCAGTCTGTGATTTATCCTCTACACAACTTTGTGGTCTTCTTGGGACGCTTTAGAATGGAAAAAATCGGTAAATGTTGATGACGTTGCCGCATCTAGTTGACGACAAGACAGTCAATCCTGCAATGATGCTGTCTTTTCCCACATAAAGGTGCTTGCTCGCTTTGTTGAATGCTCGAGGTCCGGCTTCTTTGTTACTTGTAATTTGTAGAATGGCAACATCTTTCGGTTTTGCTATTTGTTATCTCATGTTTAATTTGTCAACGGGTGTCAAATTTCGATAGATTGTGACAAAATTTACCTCACGTTATTTGGGAAATAAGTTAGCTGTCGTAGTTAAAGTTATTCGATCGAGGTAAATTTTGTATATTTGATTAACATTGTCACCTTGTGTTAAGCTTTCGATGAGCCATAATGGATTGAAATTCAGTCGCTTTCTAAACTGAAATCGGGTGGTTCAATGTGCAAATGTAATGGCTTTCGTATCAGATCGCATATTTTTTTTACCTGAGTTAGAATGAACCGCGGTTGTCTATATCCAGTAAACAATTAGGTGTGGCGTTGTTGCTGCCCAATCAGACACCAGCGTACTTGAAGGCAAGAAGACCGGAGGAAATGGAAGCTCGATCGTTCATTAGGACCTTTAAAATCGTTGCTTTGAGTCGTGTTTATTAATGCGCATTTGTTTATCACGAGCAAAAGTAGCCAGGAGCCAATAAATTTCAGGCAATGACGTTTGATGTCCGCCACAGGAAAACTGCGAATTTTGTGAATTTAGGTTGTCTATAGTTACGGTGTTGCAAGAATCCTTGATCCAGTGGAAGACAGTGCTTCGTCAACCCAGACCCCGCTAGATCGTTGTCTTCGCACAAAGTGGCCCACAATTCAGGTCACGTGGCAGGAAGACCTCAAGCCGACAATCAACTGATCGCTGCATTCCACTCACGCTACTGCTCATAACGTGCCTGCATCTCCAGCCTTCCTGAAGCAAACATAGTCGATGATTGTTTTTTTGTCCCTAGTTGCCGTTATTTTCTTCGTAAAAGACAGGTTTGTACCGAAGTGCTTTTTGCGTTTTATTGTTTAGGATGGTACTCGAATATTTTCATTGCCTAGACGTTGCCTTTTGTCGCGCGCACAAACCGTTCTGTGCAGTAGAGTCCTCAACTAAAAGTACCTCGCTAACTCTGGTCAGGGCCTAAATTATTTGGCTGGAGGATGCTCGGCTACCGGTTTGTCCTTGGAAAGGGGACTTGTTTAATGGGTACATCCTGCACCATGAATTAACTCTGAGCCACCATACGCTGTGTTAGTAGATGTTTATTACCGAGAATAAGGCGTTGGTACACAGGAACCGGCAAATGCAGATACCATGCAATTTGCTTTCGATAACAGACATTACCGAGGCGGGGTGTGGGAGGCTCCATTTAGTGAAGGGGTTCAATTTGGTGGTGGATGGTCGCGAAATGGATTGCCACCTATATTGTTCCGAAAGGAAAGAATTCCATTATCTAACTTAGCGGAGGTTGTAAAAATAATTACCATCGGTGTTGAGGAAAGCAGACCAGTTGCAGCGAAGAGTGTTTTAATTTTTCTTGGTGTATTAGGTGTCTGAAAGATCTATCTGCATAAGTTTTCACATTTCTAATTATTATGCATTCATTGTAAAAGAATTGACTTAAAAAGACTCCTTTTCCTTCATCTTAGTAAAGGTTCTTTGAGGGATTCCGGAATTTTCTGCTAGGTATTTATTCGATTTTAGTCGAAAATTATGTGCTGGAATAAATTTGTTAAGAAATGACGAGATTCTATACTATGGTGAATTCCAGACCGCAGTATGCATTAGCAGTAAGTTTAGGTAATAAAAAGATGGTTTATAGGAAAAAACAATATGACAGTAATAAGACAGCGTTAAAATTAAGGACGGTGTCATACAAATTTGATAGAATATATGCATCAAAGGGACTATAAATTTTCAATACGAATTACAGGAAATAAATTCAACGTAAATAATCTTGAAAATTGTGAAGCTTCAACTCAATCTTCTAAATCAGCAGATGATTTGAAGTTCCTGTTATCCGTAAAGGAGTACAAATTTTGTAAATTGTCCGTGTCCATTAGTTAACTCTCCTCCCACACCCTCCCTCGTATTTGAAGTTTTACCAAAAGCCAATAAATCGTACTTAAACCAACATCTCAAACTAACTACCATTAATTTTTGGCTAGGAAATCAGGTAAGGTCAAATAGGGGTCTCGTTGCAGACGTTGGCGCAGAATGTTCGTTGGCAGTCGTGAAATTAAAGGAAAGTTCGACTAGTCTTTATGTGTCAGAAGGGCTTTCTGTGGGTATAATTTCATAAATATATGGCAAAAAATACATTGTGGGGTAGATATCTATATTTGATGTAAACTTAATAATGGCTGTTTTGATGTTGATTATGTTCAACAATTACACTATGCCTCGTATTTATGTAAACAGGGCACCTCAAAATTCTCTTCCTAAATGTTTTAAACCAACAATATTAGCTAGTTATTGCCTACTCAACTTCTCTAATATCGGTGTACCTCATTCATCCACGTCTCGGATTGATTGTTTTCTCAAGGCTATTTAAACACACCTAAACGCACGATTGACAGAGCTCTGTACGTGATGAAAATGGCTGCGGCCTGTTGCCGGTGTTACATGATTCACGCCGAAACCCCCTTCTGCTTTTGTTATAGTAGCGATATTATGTCCTTTTCTTTTTTCTGTTCTATTTTTTGAATATCATATTGTGCTTGAAACTTCATTGTGTGTTTGCCCTACGAACTTCGCAGCCAATTCACCCCTCGGAACATAGGAAAAATAGTGCCCACTTCTCTTAGTGCTACATTCCAGTGACAAAAAGCGCCGACATGTGTGTGGTATGTAGATCTTCACGGCAACACTACCGGAGTTTTTAGGTTTTAATTCTGGTGTCTATAACGTCGGAACCTGCTTCGCGTTAAGAACACGCTTCTGCGTACCTAATCGGTCCTTATGGGCTGTTACCATCCAGATGCATGAGTTAATTAAGCCATTCCTGACTTACGTTTCTTTTATTCCAGATGTCTGTATTGCCAAAACTGAATCTCTTGGTGGCAAATTTTCTTGCCCCTTCAACGCGTATAGCTCCAGTCCTTGTATGCCGATATACACCATTTAATCCACCTGACCGGAAGTCCGAAACTATTGAAATCAAACGAAACCGGTTACTCTATGAAAGCCGGAAGAGAGGAAATCTAGAAAATGGCATTATCCTATCGTAAGTAAGCGGACCCCGTGTAGTGAGTAGTTGATGCATTCGTCACATTAGATTTGCACAACCTACGGTGCCCAGCAACCCTTTATTTTTATTTCGTTAACTCCGTGCACCCTCGAGATAAATGTACTTGCATTTTTCTCTGCTGGGTAGGTGACAGACTCGCCATTTTAGAACTTCAGGCGTGCATGCTGTTCCTACCATACTGTTACTGGCTATAATAAGCATCCATCTATTTACAAAACCTAGATTTTATAACATAACTTCCCTTTCAGGTCATTTGCCGATAAGCATCTTAGCAAAATGGACGAAAAACAGCTAGAAGCCTACGACAAGTTAATCAACGGGCCAGACTGTGATTGGGATATCTTCTATTGGACGACTGGTAATGTGCTAACGATCACGGAAATATCTTAACTAATTGTGCTTAGATTCATTACTTTATACAACATACGGGCCGCTAATTGCTAACCCATATCGTCGCCGTTTCTATGTTTGCTTAGGCGTTCCCACCTAGTGTAGATGTTGAGTGTTGAATTGATTGTTTAACTTTTATTGGTGGCTGTTTTGTTTTTCAACCTACTACCGCATATTCTGGGATATGCGAAACTTCACTACGGGTTGAAATCAGAATCACGCCCAGCGCTGACACGCGCCGCCTTACGACGAATGGTAGATCAGCAGCAATATCTTCAAACCTTGAAGAAGTTGCATTATTAGGACAAAACATCTGGTTTGCCCCTGTTCTACTTGTGATTCGTTGAATCATGATAGTTAAAAGCCGGCTCCATTCCCTACATGGCATCTCGGTGCTGAAATTGCTCCAAAATCAGCATTTAATCTGTTCAACGACTGTCGTGTCTATTTTAGGTGAAAAAGAAGCCCCGGAGGAATTTAAGAGTGACGTACTAGAATTACTGAAGAAGCACGCCAAGAATTATGGTCGTGAACTGCGAAACCAACAACCAGCAATTCGCCCCCCAAATCAGTAAACCCCGCGTTTTACATGTCGTAGAAACCTTGAATTGGGCTAACGTACTTAGTGCAACAAAGCTCTTAGTCTTTCCAACACGAAGTATTGCTGTAATTGGATGTGAATACACGATTTGCATTTCGTTAAGTTAATCTTTTTCCGACATTGCGTCTTTATCGAGTGAAGTGTTTACCTCTGTTCCTGAGTTTGAGTTGTGCTGGGTTCCATCCGACTGTTCAGATCCATTGCTGTCACCGGTCGCATTCCCAGCGTCTGTACATTCTGTTGTTGCCTCTAATTACGATTATTTATGGAATCAAACCTCTGCGCTTGCGTTTTAGTGCAGCCTTCCGCTTCTGCCTCTTTGCACGTTTTTTGGCAGTTTTTTCCTCAATGGCACGGTTTTTCTCCTCGTGTTCAGCATTAAATGCGTCTGCTTTGGCTTTCTGTGAATAAAAATATTCAGTCAAATTTTTACGGGCGAACCTCTTTAGCTTGTTGTTCGATGAACTCTAGGCGAGCATACTCTCTTCTTCGAATGCCTCTATAAATATGAAAGTCGCCACTACCTACACCAGCAGCGGATCCTAGTAAAAGCAAAAGAAGTATAAATTCAATTATAATGTCAATTAGCTAATTTCTAGTTTCACATACGTCCGTTTTGGACTGAAAAATATGTTTAGTAGTTAAAACTAAAATTTGGGAAATTCGTGGGATGCAAACACAAATACCCGCTTGCTGGAATAATACTATGTTCAGACTGATACTTCTTTGTCGCCAAGAGGATAATAGTAGATTCTTACCCCACACATTTCGGACGAAATCTGGAGGTGCTTTTGGCTGTTTCTTACGAGAGGACTCCGGTATGACAACAGGAACATCCTGTTGTAAAAAAAGATGTGTTTATAAAAGTTAACACAAGGCGTGGGTGTCCAAGAAATGAGGTTCGGGTAGATTCCCAGTTCCCAACATTAAGGGATTTAAAATGTGTGGCATATTTCCTCATTACTGGGCATGCAAATATCGACGGAGAATAGGGGGTTACAAGTAATGTCGGTTGGCCAAATACAAACGTGAAGGCGTGTGGGGTCTCCAAAACAATGACAAATATGAATGTAAAAGCGCGCAATTATGGAGACCTTAACACTATTATAATTTTTTAAAAAAAATTGATGACCAACCCATTTTGTTAGATCTCTTTTTACAGCAAACCTACTGTTACTCGTATCCAAATTAAAAATCAAACCCAGAATTTGTTGTAGAAACGGAAACATGTAGTTAATTGACGCAGTCAACACAGGGTGATTGCAGTATTGAAAATTGCATAAACTGATGAACATGTCATGCTACTCCAGCAATAAGACATTGACAACTTACCGGTTTCTCCATAAGTTTGTTAATCCTCATACGAACAAGATCGTAAGTGCCCATTTTGTATGGATTAATTTTGGGGCCATCCGAACTGCCTGAGGCTTCATCCTCAACCATTGTGCACTAATGGGTAAAATAGTGTCAATTCTCGTGGGGTCTTCAAACAAATTTGCCTAGAAAATGATGATAATGTTTTTTATAGAGTTGTCATCGTTACACTTTACTCCAATTCAATCATCAAAAATATTGCAAATTAGAGTCTTTGAAATCTTATTGTCTACTAAAATTGCAAGCTAATGGAATCCGTTGTAGTGACCAATATGTACTGTATAACATTCTATTTGAATTAAGAATGAAAAAATATTAAACTGATTTTGTGCTGCTTTCGAACGTTATCAACGTTATGTCAAATGATGATTAAATACCGAATAAAATTATGAGAATAACTAATTAAAGAAAATTTGTCTTGATACTTTCAAATAATCGCCATACTTACAAAATGATAAAAATATTACTTTATATGTGCCTCCATTATTTATGACCTTTTTTTATTTAACCTGAACGATTTCTTTTTTATTTATTTTAACTTTAATCCAGTCCTTTGACAATTCGATTTTTTGTTTTCAAAATGCTTTTACGTTTGTCTTAGTATGATTCATTTAACAAATGATGTACTCTACCTGTTTTAGCATTTGTTTCATTGTCATCCTTTAGCTTAAGTATAAATAAAATTTAAGACTGATTAACCTTTAAATATCCCAGCATACATACTTCGGGCTTTTATTTAAAGACTATTTAATTTAATTTGCAGTTATTAAAAACCTACTTTTTCGAATTCGTGCTGTTGGCTAAATTGCTACTAAAAGATTATTTAAATGGTTTGAGTATTTAGCGCACATAATGCTATGGAATATTTGTGAACTTTTTGTTTATAAACTATGCTAAAAGTTAATAGTTAAAGCAATTTTAGGGATGAAGAACTGCGTTTGTGAATTTAGTTAGGCGACAAAATAGTGTTGATAAACCCGGTAGTAGAATATACTGACTACCGTTTACTATTAACGTACAAATATTATGGGTAATACTTATATTATTCTGAGGCGGCCTTAGTATGTATCTGCGTGTTGGTGCCTTTTAACTAGTTGCAATTCTCACTTAAAAAGCACTCATTGTGGGAACACCTCTTTAAGACATTACTGACAAATTATTTTCATGGAGCAATCTAGGCTAGTGTAAGTGCTTGCATGGTCGCATTACTAGCATACACAAAACTTTTTAATTATTTTACGCAATAAAAACTGCCCAGAATCAATATAATGAGAAATGTAAAAATTTTAAGAAAAAAAAGTTAGCTTGAGATTCACCTTTTTAGAATGAAATATATACACCTTGAATATACATTCAAAAATGTTCAGTAAACTTGCCATTGATTTCCACCAATCATTGTAACTCTATTTCAACTTCCTGATTCGTATATCGCATAAACATGCGTGGTTCCTGTATTAAGCTTCCATTTTTTCAACAAAGGAAGGTTGCCATGATTTATGGGTCTATGGTCAGAATCTATTCGCTACATCTAGTAATACTTCGCATTTCACATTAACGAGTGAATTTTAGCTTTTTGTACTATGAGCACTAATTTAACTTTTCGTTTTAATGACTAAAGAAGACAAAAGATGATTTTGATTTTTAACACCTTAATAGTTGCCTGAAATACTTGGCTTATTTTTTTCATAATAACGTCAGATTTTCTAGAAGTCAAGTTTCCGCACAAGTCATTCTTGCATCACATGCTATAATTGATTGTAGCCTCGAAGAATTAGTCTTATTGACTAGGTATAATTACGATCCTTTGATTACTTAGTAGTAATTTTATTGTGACTATCATTTTAGAAGAAGGAGCTCGATAAGGCCTTTAACATAACGTAAAAATTGAACCCTGTGATTTTATAGTTGTGTATAGATATCACGGCATCAGTGATCGGCATTTACGCATGAGATATACTTCAACGTCTCATTGATCTTAATTACTTGATTCCTTAGGAGTTTAAGGCTCATTAAGTGACGGGACAAACTACGAAAACAAGCCAAACTGATTCCACTTGCGTTTCAGTATTTCCGCAAACTCCCGAAACATGCAAGATTAAATGCACACACCAAATAGCTCCTAAAATTTCACACTGATCACTCCGAAAGTTGAAAAGGAAAACCGCTTTTTCAACTAGTTCCTGCAACTTTTTCAAAACCGTAGTTAAGTCATTGCTGCTTGACAGCAAGTGTGATTCAAATTTAGTTGATATATAGAAATGGATAACTGAAATAATTAAACGTATATTAGTTTTACTGAGCACTGTTATCTTGAATGCACAAATTGATATGGATTTAGTTAAACGGAACCTGTAAATAGACGTATATTTTCATAATAAAGATCAAACAACTGAAGTGGGCGGACCCTTGGACTTGAAAAAGCGAAAAAGGTAACTTGACGGAAAAATTTTAAATTTTGAACTAAATTTTCTGATTTCATTCTGCAAAAATTGCTTCGTTTTAAGCAGGACGAGAACTAGCGTTAAAAATGTAAAAAGACATCCGATTGCCATTACAGGTCACGGTGTTTGCAGATGAAAATCTGCCAAAGTCCCCAAAGAATTTGTTTGCAGCAACTCGTGAGCTAGGGTTTGCCTTCGTCCTGCAGCAGACCCTTGGAACTCCATAGTGCGTGCACTAGCATTTACAATTTGACTCAACCAGGCATTGGCGCGTTATGCTCAGTGCACATGTTAATTAAACAGCTCGGTTTTTTTTTAATTTGATGTGTTGTCTCGACATCATTTATCCCAGGGATGGAGTTTTAACTTTTATAAAAAAAAATAAAGCGAATCCACATTCAGTATAAAAATAAAGTGTTTATAAATAATTTTTGTTGGGTTTGAAGTAAAGTTAATGTCAGTAATATGTTTCTTTGATCTTAAGAAAGGGCGACTTCAGCTTTCGCTGACTGGAAATTTGCTGCAAACCTACCATATTCGTGTAGAGTAGCGTAGAACAGAATATCATTTGAAGAAAGCTTGGCTCAGAAAATCAACAAAGCACTTTAAAAATAGTATCAAGGCAGATTTTTTGCACATATATGTTTTATTGAGAGTCTTTCGCTTTTGTTCGACAGATGCATTCATTTTGTGGACAAGAATACAGCCCTTTTTAGAACCACTTCAGAATTTCATATTAAGGTAATGGTAGGATACCAAAATAAAACCTCTAATGTAATCATAAACCAGAGAAAATGGAGGTGTTTCGTAATCGTAATTAAAAATGGGCTTTTGTTATCCCAAATATTTACTTTTCGCATCGAAAATGATTCAAGTAACGATAAAATTATACATGTCCTGTGTCTTTGACAGGGAAGATTTCGGACTCTTACCGAATTTTCGAACTGAAGCTTTGCACCCTAACTTAGTAACCAGAAGTCTAACAACGACGTTCGTAGTTTAAAACCTCGCTATGACAAGTTTTCCTGTCTTCTTGGGTAAACTGCGGCACAACCTAAATGTCCACTTCTGAATGATCATGTAAAATGGCTTTTGTATCCTATAGGAGATAAAATACCCCACGGTGGGGTTTGCCAAAACCATCCTCTTACCACACACGATTTGGTCATGGTTTCAATAAGCAAATCTTCGTGAATTCCCACCACAGACGCTAATCAAAAAAGACCAATTAAGTTAAAACCTTTAAGATTTTTTTACACTGATAATGTATCACTGCCAAAAATCTTTATGAGAAAGACCAAAAGTAAAAATTTTGAACAAGCGAAAGTCCTTTTTAGCTGCCTAATAAAACATTTCAGGTTTCCACGTGGTGAAGCTGCCTATGCTAAATTAACCCAGATAATTTGGTGCAATATGTAGAATCGGTCTTAAATTAACTATTGGTAAATATATTGCATAGGAAGCCAGTTATCAATGTCAATTTCTTGGTTGATGACATAGTTACCGTCGTCCAGTCGTGGTGGGACGCATCAGTAATTATGTGTTTGATTTGCGGTAGTTCCCACATAAAACGATGCAATTATAAAGTTTTTTTCCAAAAGTGGATGGAGAAATAATCCAATACAACAACTGAATTCAGCCCGGTATTTAGACTAATCTGGCCATTGCCTTCTAGCGAAGACTCTCAGTATTTAAACTTCATTATAGTGGAAAGTCAGGTTAACAAAGCAAACAAATTTTGCTTTAGGCTACTTTAAATAATACGAAAGGCAAAATGCACTGACTCAGTCAACTTACTTCACATGGATTTAAGGGTCAGTCTTGTCAAATATGTTGTACAATTTAAAAAAAATAAACAAATACTTTTTTCCTTGTCTAAATTACTGCTGGCTAATTTAGATCATTCCGCCCACCAACGCGGATTTTTTTGTACATGCAAAGCCAATGACACTTTTCAGGATTAGTTAGGACGTCAATTTCCACGTAAGTTTTATCCTTTCGAAAACAACCATAGTCATTGCTTGATGTAAGGATACGTTGACAAATCCTTATTCTCGTTGGTCTTTATGCTGTCTCCTTGGCTCTAAGAGTGTTGCGAAAAAGCGTTTTTTTTTAAATTTCGATGAATGTTTTGGCTGTTCTGTTTATTTCTGTCAACTGTAGTTGACAGACCTATTTAAGTCGTAAATAGCAAAGACCACGCTTTCAAAATGCCTAGGCAAAGCGCTGTTTCAGTCCGTTATAAATATTAACTAAACATGTAAAATTACCTAAGTAGCACATAAACGGAAACTGAAAACTGGTGACTTTAAAACAATTTCAAAAAAAATTAGGAGTTATTGTTAACCTAAAGAAACTTTTGATCAAGATTTAAAAAGGAACTTCTACGGGTTGCTTCAATTTAATGCATGTATTATTTTGCATGTTCCACAAATTTCAGAGCAAATACAAGCTCCAGATGTGTCAGTCTAACTTTACAGAAAACAACTGAAACCTTTCGACCCTGAACAAGATTATTTGTGAAATCATTTAAACAGGACTGTGTTCAAGTAAAATAATGACTTAATTTGGTGTTCTGGATGATATTGAAGTTGTTGTTGCCGTGGCAGACTGAAGACATGTCGAGATTATAAATTTGGTATAAGGATTCAGCTGCATTACCTTCCAAATGGACCTACTTGGTTCTGGTGAAAATTGTGAATAATTAAAAGAACCCACCTAAATGCAAACATGAAATACAAATCACAGTTGGTTAGCCAAAACAGGTTCACCAACAGTCATCTGTTATTAGATAGTACAATTCAGAAAATACGATGATTTGGAAATGACACTACATATAGTAGATGTAAGGTCACGATCATGATTTATTAGCCTAATCCTAAATTATTAGATGTATTTACCTAAAACAGGTACAACGAGAAATACAACGAGCATGAGGGGAGTATTCGAAGAGCAACTGGAAACTGAAGCCAAGGAAAGGTAATAGTAAATGGCAGATGTCAATCAACTTACTGTAAACCATTTTGGACAAGCGTCTGCATGTTTGCTTCTGTTGACAATCTACTGCACCTCTATGCAAATAAACTGAAAATTCAAGCGATGGTCAAGAAATATCTACACCAGTTCCTTTGCACGAAACGAAAGAATGTAACTACTTTACCCACAACTCCTAAACCATTTATTTTTGACTCGCGGTGACCATTCAGCATTGTGAATGTAAGACAACTTGCCTAGTGTGTGTCAACTAAACACAACCGAAAAGCTGATAGAAATCTGACGGGAGGCTGGCAGGTTTTGATTAACTTGCAGTCTACTCTAATTGTACAAAATATCGCATTTAGTGGTTCAATGTAACTGGATTAGGAGACTAGGCGTAAGCTAATCGAAATGGTCTAATACTGATACACTTATTCAACTTTAATGAAACTTGGGGATAAACTGTGGATGAGGCTCAAATAATAGTCTAAACAACACACGTTATCTTCTGCTTAATGGTCGACTTGGTATTAGCATGGATGTAAATATGACAAGGTAAAATTGTATTCTTTCTCCATCACAAGTGCATTCATTTACAATTAAAACATTCCGGACAAGTCACTTGTATAACTAATATCTAAAATCAATAGTGGAATTTAAAGTACATTATTACAAAATACAAACTAATGCAAATTACATTGCAATTAAATTACAGTGGTATTTTACACAAGGAGTAGTATTTCTTACTCTACTAGAAGACTGTTTTCCTGTGGAAATGCCATTGATCCCTAGCTCGTAACTTGTGTGATCAACCACCTTTCTGCGTGCCAATACGTTCAGTACCATTTCACAAAATTGTACCGAAAAAAATTAGATGTTAGGCATTGGAGCAATAGAACTCGAGACCCGAACCATGTAAAAAGTTTGACACGCTTCTTTTGGTGTGACAAAAATAAAATTTGGATGCAAAAACATGTGGTATATCTTGTTCTACGCGGCCGTGGGTTGCGGTTTCTTGCTGGTTTAACCAATTTTGCGAACGGCGTCCACCCATATAGGTCGCTGTATTGCTAACTTGGATTAACATCATAAATATTTCGTTTTAAAGTTGATCATTCTGTGAAAGGAAATTCCAAGAAATGCCAATACCAATAAAAGCCAAATTAATTAAAAACGTTTAAAAGATTAAGCATACAAATTGCTGATAATGTAACAGGTTTGGACACAGCAACCGTTATGTTCTACGGTAGAAAATTGACACCCATTTACATATTGGCCACAGTAATCAACATTTTTCCCCGGAATATGGGCTCTTAAGAACACATTAAAAATTAATCAGTGTTTCCTAGTGTATGCGCTAATCAGCTTCGAAAAAGAGCGTCACGAACTCACCTGCTTGCGTTCCCAGGCCTGGGATGGCAATAACTGCTTTTTATGAGAGCATTTATGGGAAAGTTTCGCATAAAACAGGTTATTTTGTCAATGATTTCCTTTTGTCTGCTAAGTATCTTTGTGTATAGACAGTTTTAACAAAAATGAAAATTCCCTTATAACTGGACAGACATTTTCACTCATTTGTTGCCTGTTTGGCATGAATCGCTAACCTGCAATTTCAACTCTGTGAGTTCACCATTTTTGCATATTTTAAGAAAACCTTTAGGCCCGTATAGCAATCCCTTGTTCTGGAATCACTGCCGTTAATGTCGCAGTTACTAAACATCTCATCTTATTTTGCCATGCTGGTTCTTCACAGAATATTCATTTATTTTGATATAAAACCACTGCGCTCGCGACTTTTTTTGACCTAATTACTTCGAGTGGTGGACTCTTAATATTTTTCATTAGCAGGATATCCCTTTTGAAGCTGAAACTGATTATTTGTACCTAGGGGACTATTTTACTCCTTTTGATTTGTAATAGCAGGTATGAAAATCAGTTTCTTTGCAAGATATATTATCGAGACGGATTCTAGAACCTACTTATTTGATATAGATGAATCCTATTAGCCTTCGTCATAATATCCTTTACGACTTACCGCAATTTTATTTATACATTTTTCTTGGTTCGAAACAGTGTTCAAGTTTTTCACGGCTAGGTCTTTGCCGGCCACTTGACCTTTTACTCTTGGTTCTAGTCCTTATTACTTCATTCAGATTATTCGATTTTTTACAAATACAACATTTTGCACGATATGGTCGAGACTTTTCCAGAAGTTTGATCGGCAATTTCTGCAGGACCCCGATTTCGTCTTTACCTATACTGATGTTATTCTCGTTTTTAACATAGATAGTGGCAAAGATTTGCTGCATCTACGGCAAGTTTTTACACCTCTGGCCTGTACGCCGCTAATAAGCCGTCCCTGTTTGCTTGCCTTTCCGTTGTTCTCACGTTTGTATGGGCTTTTGACAAGCAGACTGTTAACCAAGCGCAGAAATCGCCACATTTAGTGGCCTCGGTCCAATAATATCAGATACGGACCTGTATATATCGGAGACACCAATGTCCTAGGAAGATTCGATACCTTCTTTGTGGGCGCAAATTACTCATTCTCTTCAACTATGTGCAAAGATACTGATCTTTGCTTATTGCAATAACACTAATACACAACAGTCACTTCTCACTAGTTATCATCTGTTGGGTAATTGCTTTCTACTTCGGTGCAACCAGTACTAATAATCAGAACAAGCATCCTATCTGAGAACTGCTACTAATGTTCCATATTTTAGATAACGCTTAATTCGATTTTTAATATTTTCCTTGTGATTTCAAGGAACAATAAGATATGAGGCATTATTATATTTGCCATTTGTGAACTTGGTTAAATTTATCACTGACCTACCGGCATTGTAAAGATATTAGAGTACTTTTTGATTATTACAATGCCTAAATTCACATCTGGTGGCATTGGCATCTGCAATCAGCCTTATACTTTTACTCTCGAGCGAATTTAAATTGCTTCGAGCGGGTTACTTTTAGCAGCATCCAAAAAATTATTAAAAAGTATCCAGGTTGGGTGGGCATTAAAAGTTAGTAGCAAAATCCCATCTTGGCTGGATCATTACTTGTTGTTTATTCGTCGATCACGTGACCTACTTTGCCCTAAATTTTGGATGTTCGTAGTTAAGTTGAACAGGTGAAGTAAGGAGGTGTAAACATGTGGGTATTTTGCGTAACTGAAAAATCCGCCAGCAATGCACACGGTCTACGCGTATGCCATCATAAAAGGCAGCTTTGAAATAAATTTGAGCAAAGAAATACATAAAATCTAAATGGAAATGATCACTCAAGTTCGATAGTCTTCAATCACATTTTGGTTAGCAGTAAGACATACTGCTAACTTAGCTTGAATGAGGAACACCCAAGGTAATTACGTGTCATTTCTAAAAACAAATTTGACCAATCTAGTTAGCAAGATTATTTGCATACTTAGCGTCAAATTGAGTATAAACTGGGAATTGGAAATGCAAAATTGCTTAACACTATCGATTTGTATTTTTTTTATTAAAAGGGTTATTTTGCAACTTAATAAAGGGATAGACTAGATACTTTGCTTAGCCCAGCTTAGAAGATTTAGGCTAATTAGCTTTATAATTATTATAAACTTAGCAAAAGCACAATGGTAATTAGATTTTTATCTATGACCTCTGTCGATATGGCAAATGTAATGTAAAGCTCTGGTTTAAAGTAAACACAGTAATTAAATTGTGTTGCGGCTAAACACATTGTTCTCATATCACCTGTTCCTACATGCCCTGACCGGATGTTATGTTTTAAAAGCTGGGAGGTGAGAAGACGTCTAAAGGTAATTTTGTAGTCGAATTGGTGAAATACCCTACGGCAAAATCAATCTATGCTCTTTGGAAAAATTGGTTAAGTGTAGCGCTTCACATCTGGATTTGGGCAAATATGTCGGGAAAAAAACTACAAAATTTTCTTTAGTGACCTAAAAATCTAAATGGTTGTAGACCTACATCCATTGGCTAGGCGAATCTCAAAAAACCTAGTAAGACGCAAGTGCCTTCTTAGTTGCCCAAAAATTGCACTGCTCCAAGGAAACCAATTCAAGTGACACTCAGGGGTACTTGTGTAATTTGAGTCATTAAGTAAAAGAAATTACATTTGATCAAATAGACTTTGAAATAAATTGTGAATATCGATAAACCTTTATCTAAACCGAAAATTTCAGCTGGAACCTAAAGTTTATTGTGTAAACCCTAGAGATGAATGATGAATTAATCACATTTTGATGTAGTTAGAAGATCGATAAAAAATTTGTTTCAGGACATTTTACTTTTTCACGAAACATGATATGAAGTGGCGTAGAAAACAGGAGTAATGAATGATTTGGTTTGGTTGGTAGAAAATATAATTATTCCTGTCTTTTCTTTAAAATATTTGGAATGGTGCTTTTGACGCACGCTAACTTGAGGCTTCGAAAAAAGCTATCCATTCGCTTTTTCAAGACTCCATCTCTAAAAGCGTAGATCACAGGGGTTATTACCGTGGCTGTGTAGACGAGGATTACGCTGGTGCGCTCAAAAGAATCCAGCCAAACGCTACGACATTTCGGACATCTATCAATGAAAGGCTGATAGAAAATGACGCACATGTAAGGCAGCGTGAGTCCATAGAAGCTGCTGAGAATCCACACAGCTGATTTGGCAGACTTGGCTTTTCTGAGGTAATCACTTAAAAAGGGTACAGCATCCCTGTTTTCTGTCTCGTGATTCACTTGGCTGCATGCCGTGCGGGAGAGATTAGAAAAACATCGACACCTTAGTGGTGGCGCCAGAGGTCGTGGCTCACGTGCAGCAGACTGTGGGGGCCCAAAGCACCGACACTCAACGTTTCCATTTTTCAGGGTCAGATCTGCAGTGGAACGAGGCTCCTTGGTCTCCGCCTGACGCAGATATCGTGCATGATTCTCGGCGTGTCTACCAGCAGATTGTTTTACTATCCTGTAAATTTTTGCATATGCCCAGAGTATAAAACAAAGGGGAATTATGAAGACCAGGATGATAAATGCATATGAGTAAGCACGGAAGTCCTCAGAACCCTGTAGCCCTATTATGTAACAGTACTTGAAGTCTTTCCTAAGCGGTTTATAGCTGAGTCTCAGATGAATGTATGGAACTAGGGCGAAAAGGATTGACACGGACCACCCCGCTGCGATGACAGTGAGGCATTTCCAGGACGACATAATCCTCCAGTAATGGAAGGGTCGAAAAATTGCAATCAGGCGGTCCGTAGTCAGTTGGACAAGACTGAAAGACATTAACATGACTAGGGCTACAAGCGCAACACCAACAAAAAGACAGTGGATTGCTCGTCGTTCATCCGCCACGTGAATATGACCCCTGTTTGTCTGGACTTCGATGAGGATGTTCACGAGTGTTGCACTCATTAGCAGGGTTATAGAAGTGCAAAGACTGCAAAAATAGTAGAATGTAAATCTGTGCTTTGTTGAGTAACAATGAGCCTCATTAGACTCGGCAGAAATGCAGCGACTTCGGAATTGAAGTCGTTGGTCCGATGGCATTTGGTTCACTTTGGGACTTCGGCTGTTCGGTTGCCTATCACTGGATTGAGAGGCGACAGCAAAGACATTAGTGTGTGCCACTATTTGCACGGGAAAAGGAATGGCTGTAGACTGAATTGAGTATGCTAAAGACCTAATATTAACACGGGTTCGAGCCAGGAAAGCGAACTTCCGACGTCGCCTGTGGAGATAGCATAGCCGATGTAACGGTTTAATTGTGAGCAAAATAAAGAACACGTTTTCCAGAAGGCTGGCGATGACAAGACCCAAAAGAACGGGTTGATATATTTTGCTCAGATACGGTTCCATATGACTTAATGGTCACCGGAGTCGCTGCGGCTGAAAGTTTGAGTGTGAACGTAGAAATTGGGTCAAAGTCGGATCGCTCATTTTCTTTCGCTTCGCCTTGAAACTTAAAATATTGACGGGTGATAAGTCACTGAATCAGTCATAAATTATTCCATAAAAAAATAAATAGATGTTTATGCTATGGGTTTATTATTTTGAAACACTATTATGTTTCGAAAATAAACCACTTATTTTTAGCTTCTTAAAGGTAACCACTGTTATCCACCGCAAGTTACCATTATGTGAACCTTGGTGGGTGCCTGGATTAATGAAGATTGTGTGCAGCTTCAATATACATTTTTTTTGCTTTGGAAAATTAAATCTACCTCTAGATTAAACAATTGGCTCAAAGAGTGTTTCAGCAAGATTGCTCAACATTTAAATTTCATTTTCATATTCGAAATTCATATTTTTAGCTAAGATGCCACTGTGTCATTTTAATTTTATAATTCGTTTTTTGATAAAGGCATCCCGCCGGACAAATTGCAAAACCTAACTGCATAATCATTCTCTTCATAAAAATAACCTTTATATCGCGATTCTTAGCTACATGGTCGATTTTCCACATTACACTACTTTACTTTTCGGCAATGGAAGTGACTTGAGCTAATTGTTGGCAATTTACTTTCCCATCACTAACTCAATTTAACAAAAATGATAATGCCCTAATCACTTGCAAACTGTTGTGTCTGAGCCCAGCACTGATTCAGGCATTCTCGGGCAAGCTTAAAATGTTTACCCCATTTGGTTAATCCTAGACCCACAAGCCAAGAATGCTCTTACCAGCTTCGAACCTCTGAGATAGTTTCATACTTGGACGGTGGTAGGTTATGTGAAAGCAGATTCCAGTGTCCAAAAAAAGCAACAATCTATCAATATTCTAAGCAGATGGTGGTTTGAGTTATTTATCGTTTGATTTATAGTTGCAATGAATGCAATTCTGAAGATTTTATTTCAAGTTTTTTTTGATGACGAATATTATAAGTGTCTGATCGGTGACCAATAAAAGACTGACTGACTTCTGAGGCTCTCTTCAGGCAAAGTGAAGAAAACCCCAAAACGCGTGCTACGCACAAACGCGAAGCACGAACAATAACTAGTGGTTTCACTTTTGATGCTCAATTTAGAAATATCAAATACGCATAAAAAGTATCACTACCATCATAATTTACCACATTTCCACCAACTAGTCCCTGTTTCTGATTTGTACCTAAAAATAGTTTATTTGCGTAATGAATCGAAGCCAACATGCGACCTACGTAAGTTTCACTGAATTAATTATATTATGCTTTATTAGAGAATAAATGAAAATAAATTGTCCTTTTAAGTTTAACAGGCTTTGTGATTAATTTCGAACCATCGCCTTAGGCAACTAACAAACTAACAACCAAATTTCCATTGAATTTAATTTGGTGTGCGCTCATTAAAGTCGTGTCAAAATCCACTCGCTTCAACAGGTTTATTTGTTTATTCTACTTAATGATTACAAAACATTAATAGCGATTCCTTCTGTTAGGGGGACGTAGGTCAAAAATAGAAGTGGCAGATATATGGGTTTATATCTATGCATGTGGTAACAAACAACGTGCCTGTGCTAAAACTGACAGTAAAAAAGCCTTCTGCATAAAAAAACACGGATAATGGTGAATTAAACAAATTAACGTGGTTAAAGATTGAGAGTTCCCAAATATTTGAACCAAACATGAATGTTCGTTATCGATAGTTTGGGTTAAATTGTATAGAACAAATATATTCGTTACATATTAGTGTGTGTCGTCTACTAGATTAAAGTGTTAGCAAAGTTTCTGCCATCAATTATAGTTATAAATCTTGCTCTGAATTTTAACACAAAAAACTTACTCCTACGTCTGAAGTTTCCGGTTTACGTCATGAGAAACGAATTCAAAATTTATTTTGAGTCAAGCAAATTCAGTTTGCAGGGAATCAGCAGTCTGGGACAGAAGTGGCTTGTCTCGTGTTGTTTATTACTGTTTGTACCGTTCCGTCCTCTGCACGAATTTAACCGTGTCTGCGGAGGCAGCACAACAGGAACGCTCGCGTTATCCAATGACAGTCTCCAGAGGGATTCGCCAAGGATTGGCCAGCCCCCACTATTATATTCCTTTAGATTTCGTAAACAAATGATGCAACTGAATTTCTTTTTTTATCTTCACCAAAAAAACCTTTCCTTTGTCCTGTCCTTACTGTCTAATCGCTTTCATTAGAAAATGGCTTAGACTACTAATGAAATATTGTGAATGACCAAATTTAAGTAAATTTTGAGACAAGACAGAGGTAACTTTTGAAATTTTGTCAAACAAATCCAATACCGTTTTTGATCGAGAAAGTAGTGATTATCACACTTGCAAAAATATTGAGACACAGATAGAGCCCCAGATTTTGCTTTTCCTGTAAATTATGTACAGATCCCATGGGGACATTTAAGTAACTAAATTAGCTACAAGTTAACATGTTATAATGCAAATTTCCAGACTTATAAATCAGGGCTTTGGTTTACTTTGTCACTGCTTCCTTTCTTTCTACACAGATAATAATTTGGTGTGGATCTACACATAGGGATTCAGGGCTGTTAAGTAATTCAATACACGAGAGATTGTGTGCGTGAAAATTGCTGGACATGTAGATCGGTGGTTTGCAGCCATTAGAAATTATTAATAACATATGTTCGGCACTTATAAGGAGCGATTACATTACCCTCTGCCCTATAATTTGCTGCCGCTCGTAAAAGTGAGATACAAATAGGTGGTGGTAGATATCAGGGGTTTATTGAATGGCCACCACTATATCTGATTCGCAAGTGGTTTGGGCATCGGTTGCCAGTGAGAGCAAATGTATCTCTTGGGAAGCGATCAAAACACAAGAACAGTTTTGGTTTTAGGAAAAAAAACGATAAATTGATAAGCAATCTGGATATTCCACAGGAGTTTAAATCCAAACAGACAACTCTGCACGCATTCCTTCGCATGTGCCTTTTCAGAGTATTTATCAATTCCAATCCTTAACTCACTTTTCATCAGGCCTTCGTTTACGTGGTTTGCATTCCAGTTTTGATTTTTTTTTCTACTTTTACTCATTAATAACGTGCAGTATTTATTTTTTCCTATAAGTTTAGCTTTCTGCATACCGAAAGTAACGATTTTGTTTAACGCTTGAACAAACCAGGCATCGGTGACATTTCTTGAACTCTACAAATGATGGATATCTATAATGTGACAGTCAGTGCAGGCCAATTCCGTTATGCAACGGAAAGATAAGCATTTCGTTACATGTGCCAGAGTTAATATTTACACGCAGTTTCAATTATCACTAGCAGCAAAACCAGAGAAAGGCGCTTAATAAATTGGCTGTCACCAAGTAGGCCAGGAGTCCGTAATAAAGTACACCCTTAATGTCCCACCAGTTACACAGGAGAACCTTCTTTAAGTGTATGTCCTATTTCGGCGTCGATGTACTCGGTTGCCCGAGATCTATCCACGACTTCGTACCTTTGGGATTCTTGCTATAAGTATACTTCTCATCACCCGACATAATTTTCCACAGGAAGTCTTTTTTGTTGCCTGCGGCCAAGCAGTGAACACACGTTGAACTCCGGTTTGTTCGGTCAATATATGGGGACTTAGCTTCCAAGTTTGTGAATATTTATCATTTAGTGCAAACGCTTAGAAATAGCTGTCTGGGTCACTTGACTGAGCTGGAAGCTCTTGTTGCGTTTGCATTAAGTCTTCATCCAGCAGAGCTTGCGATTCTTCACCTTCAAATTTCGAGGCTGTCCAGGGCGTGGCTAGTCACTAAGATCAAAATCATCACTTTTAAAACGTTTGTACCAATAACTGCACGCTCCATGAGATACAAGGTCGGCACCTAGAAGACTACAAATTGACGTCCGTGCTTCAGAAGCCTCGTTTCCTTGATGGGATCCGTATAAAAGGCAGTGCCATCGAATGTGCTGTTTATCAGTTGCCATTGTAAACTCTGCAGTTCTGGGAGGTTATGTAGTTCACGTAGACTTATCGTTCGATGTTCTGAAATCTTGCATCCGATCCTTTCTACTTTTAGTAAAATTTTAAGCTCGAAGAAAAAATCTGTAAAAACTAGGTCATGCGCCTAATGGTTTATAATACTACACTTTAGCAGCACCTACCTACCTGTCCCATATTGATTTTTATAAACCAAATCAAATTCAACACCAAACAATTTTACAATCGCTAGATAATAAAGTGCAAGAAATAGGTTTTTTTCTTTACTATGCCCTGGAGGTTTGCTTAGATATTTGGAACCGTTCTGAAGTCTTCAACACGATTTCACCTGAGTTTTTTTCTAAATTATTGTAAATGATTTCCGGATTTTCCCAAAATGCAAATAATGAGTCTATACTATAAAATGCTTCTTAAGTTAAATATGCATTGCTGAATCCTACAAGTTTTTGCCAGAACAATTCTAGCTTCAATAGACCTTGTAAAACTGACAGCTTTTACTTAACCGTTTGGCAACTTAAAGTGTGGACTGGTCCTCTTTTTACGCCACCCGAAGTGTTGCGATGCAATAGAAATCGCTTCCGGTCATTAACTGACACGTAATTCGCTGTATGCGTAATTGCGCACAATTCTAAAAAGGCTTTACTAAAAGTTACTGGATTTCTGTCTAAAATTATACGTGCTGCTTTTAGTTTGCCATTAAAACTTTAATCTAACTTCTCAATCTAGCTCTGCGGAATCCAGCAACATCAAAAATGAAACCGGTTCCCCTAGTTTTATCATCCGATTTAATACGTTTTCACGCTGTTTTAAAAATACTACTCATCTTACGCATTTTCAAATTAAAATATTTTTCTAAAATTAACTGTGCTTGAAGCTTACTGTGAAAATAAAAAAATGGTACCATTAACTTGCTTTGTAAATTCGATTCAGCATCCTTTACTTGGCTCATAGTGTGACCAGCCG